ACCACTACTCACTCCTTCACGGTCTAATTGTTCGAGTTCGTCGTCGCTAGCAGCGTCGAAGAAGAAATTCGACGGCATTGCTAGGGCTTAAGAGGTTTCTGAAACTCGAGTTTGTGAGAGAGACGACCCAACAGGTTTACTAATGGAATATGGCTGCCAAAATTAACCGAAAACCTTTGGTTTAGCCTATTTAAACCATTCGATTCGTATTCTTAAATGCCGGTTTGGTTCGATTTGAATTTTGAACCCAACAAAACCAACTTGTTTTTGTTCCAGTGATTTATCTTGGGCCGGGCTTATAAAATTAGATCTAATGGCCTTGTATAAATTATCGTCTTTTTGAGCAAAAGTTTTTAAACTCAATAATGATTTATTTGGAACACGGAACAAAAATATGAAGTCATAAGACTCATGACCAAACTCACCTATGAAGTAGACATTTGGAGTGGGGGGATCAATCATGTATCGAACTATCGATTCATAAAACATCATTATCTTTCATTTTTTAAGATAATTGACGTACACAAAGTAACTAATTAAAGAATAATAATTCCTATAAGCCTAATAAATATCTGTACATTTATCATGAAAAAGAAATAAAAGTATTTTTAACCTATAGAAATAGACTGAAAACAACCAACAGAGCATAAAAACCGGTAAAATTCCCCGACAAGAATCTCCTTGATACGGCGCCGTTTTTAAGAGAATATTCCGTACCGGTAAGTGAATTCAACGTTAGCTTTGGGTTCGCACCATACAGTTTCAGTACACCTGCCACGTCATCAACCGTGAGGTCAACTTTCTTGGTCCTTGGTCGGAGACTCGGATACATAACCGCAGACTCCTCCGAGCTATGTCCTAAACCCAACAAGTGACCAATCTCGTGAGTCGCCACCGACTCCAAATCAACCGCAACCGACGATCCTTTACCCTTGAAATCATCTCCGACGACCCATATCTCCGCCGCGTCGAAGTGAAGCCTCCCGTTCTCCGGCGCAAAAGCGTGTGCTAAAGTCCCTAAAACACCGTCAAACGGCTGACCGTCGCCGTGATCTCCGGCGAAAAATCCGATCTTTAAATCCGCCGTCGTGTAATCGTCAACCTCCTCGAAACTCACCGGAATCACATTCGACCACTTCGCGAAAGCTCGCCGGAAAACGGTTTTGACGTCGTCGGACGTCAAGTAGTCGAGTTTGTGTGTTTTCGAGAAGGCGTAAGTTAGCGTGTCCCGGTTCCACTTCGGTTTACCGCCGAAATAAGTATAATGCGCCGTTGTACGGACACCGGAGTTGAACATGTGTGTGTCGCTTACGCCGCATCGCGGTGACGACATGAGAGTGACGGTACTCGTGTCGAGTCTTCCGGTTATCGGTAAACCGAGATTTTTCTGGTACAGTGAGATTGCTGATTCGAGACGGCCATCGAAGACGTCGGAGAAATTGTTACCGTCGTCGTCGTCTCCGACGTAGCCGAATCTGTGAAGGTATCTTTTGAGGTCAGATACGCCGCTTACGTGGCTGCCTTTCTGGACGTCTACGAGACGAGAGAAATCATGCCACGTGGAGTTGCTGACGTGGATCGTTTGAGTCGTTTTTGCAGTTGACTCCTCCACCTCCTCCGGTAAGTTTCTGGCTAAAAACCGGCGAGGGGAACAACATAAGATTAAGACAAAACAGAGAACTCTGTTTCTATTGATTAAATTTCGAGGCATGGGGTCTCTCTGGTTTGAACGCGAGATTCAAAGATTCTCAAAAGTTTTTTTGGGTATAAATTAGAAGTTTGGTTCCACGGGAGAAGGAAGGATCGATGGAGAAGAAAGGTGAAAGAAGAGAGACAGAGAGAAGGGGAAAGAGTTATAAAAGATTCTGACGTAAGGATTCCTTTACATGTAAAACCCAAAAGGAATCTACTAATCTAGACTTTGGACTAAACTACTATTTGGAAGTTGGTTCGTTGGATCAACTGAATTCTGTTCGGTTTAGGAATACATGCTAGATTCTTGTTCTAATGGGACAATTAATTACCTGTTTAAAATTCGATTTAGTGTACTACGTAAATACGTTAATACCGACTCTTGCCACAAATTAACTTAGATGCCATGCTTTCGATTTATGACACCCATAATTTATTTGAACTTTCGAATATCTAGGGCTGAAATTTGGCGCTAACCTAGGGTAAGTGTTTGAGTAGATTTAGTGTTTTTTATTCGAGAAAAAGAGAATGAAAAAAGGATAAACATAAATTATTAAGAAATAAAGAGAATAACATCATAAAATTGGATAGGCGCTAATAAAAACGCTAATTAACTATAGATTCTTTTCATGACTATGTTTAGTC